AGGAAAGGATTCTTCCTTATAATCCTGCCTCAGCAGAAGGAGTACCAAAATAATTTATATTCTCTGATCTGCAAAGTTTTGGCTATTCTGGGAAAACTTGCAATTCTTCTAGCCTTCTAACAGGTGAGAAATGTGTTCACACATTTCAGAACATGGAGGAATATGTAATTTTGCTCTTAATTTTTTTCCTCCAAAATTTATGGGAATGATGTTCTTTCTTTTAATGCCATTCTAGTCTATATACCATTGCAATGGAGGACAGTATGTATAATTCAAGACAGAGAAGGGAAAGTTTGGCCTGAGGAGGACAAAATTCTTCCTTTCGTAGGATTCCATTTCCCCAGGAAAGAACATGGAGGAATATGTAATTTTGCTCTTAATTTTTTTCCTCCAAAATTTATGGGAATGATGTTCTTTCTTTTAATGCCATTCTAGTCTATATACCATTGCAATGGAGGACAGTATGTATAATTCAAGACAGAGAAGGGAAAGTTTGGCCTGAGGAGGACAAAATTCTTCCTTTCGTAGGATTCCATTTCCCCAGGAAACTGAAGGCATCTGTAATATCTACATGCAGTTTTTTCAGCAGGTTGTCTTTTGTGCTTTGCCAGCCCACCCAGAAAACTACACAATACCATCTTGCTTCTTGCTTGGAATGATGATATATAGCTGAATTGTCTTGACAGGCTTTTGAGCTTGCAGCTCAGGGCAGTGAGAATGTCTCAATCTAGTGTTGCAGTCATCCATCCATCCCTAATTCTGAGTCTTAAGCAGTCAAATAAAGCATAGTATCACTGGAATGATGCCCTGAAGAGGAGACCTGCCACAGTGTGTATCTTGATCATTCCTGGTGTGAACCATTGGTCTGTGAAACAACATAGATCTGCTAGTGAGACTGGGCAGAGGTATCCACTAGGCACCTGAACCAGTTATCACAGCTTGAATTAGCACAAGCAAATGATAAAATAAAAAACAGAATTTAAATGGAATAAATTTATAATTGTGGTGTAGTCTTCTAAGCTTTCCCGGCACACCTGTAAGTTCAAAGGGTTAGGAATTAAATCAATTTGGTGATCAGGTTCAATCCCACAGTACTATGGAAATTTCTGAAGGTAAAAATTATGTTTAGTTTGCCCACAGCTTAAATCTCTTGCTATGATAGATTTTGATCTTGTTTTGTCTGTAGTATGATGTGAAGAACCGTCGCACCTTTCTGAAGCGCACCAAGTATGAGAGCTTACACCTTGAGGATTTATTTGTGGGCAACAAAATTACTGTTTTCTCCCGTCACCTATCCTTAGTGGACTATGGGGATCAATATACAGCACGCAAGCTGGGGAGCCGCAAAGAGAGGTAAGAAACCACTTTTTTTTGAAATTTCCTCTGTGGTTGGGGTTTCAAAGTATCTGTTCTTTGCTGGAAATGAAAGTTTTCTGTACTGTGGGAGAGGAGGAGAAGGTCCAAGTTTGTGTGCAGGTTGAAGTGATCTGGCATACTGATAGCTGGAGAGAAGCAAAGTGGCCCCTGCTTGTGGGCAAATGCATGACTGCCTGATAAATCTTCAAGGCCAGCTTCTCCATGGTGTCAACTGCTGCCTCCTCTAGGTCCCTTGGGAGAGAAGAGGGGGAGGAGGAAAACAGGGGGTCCTGTTCAGCTTTGTTACTCCCCCAGGGCGGGCAGCAGTAGGATTCTTGTGATTTGTGGATTCTCTTGGGGCAGAATTGATATGGTAACCCTGATGTGTGCTGGGCTCGAAAGGCCTGGATCTTGCAAAAATAGCACCTGTCTCTCTGGGATCTGTGCAGAAGCCTAATGCCTTACCAATCAGATATACTCTGTGTTAATAGGAGTAACTGAAAACAGTAGGAACAGGAGTGAGAGAGGCCCATTCCCATTCTCCATTGTTTTCCCCACTACGGAGGACTTTTTTCTGAGAATTTTTTCAGCATCTCCCAAACTCTGTGTGTGTGAAGACAGGAAGTATAGAGTGAGAATGTCAATAAAACCTATAGGCTTATTTGTTAAGATAAATTTTGTTTATAAGGGATAAAGATCAGACTCATCATCTCTTTTTGGTTGAAAGGCTTGCTTTGGAAAAGACTTTAAGAGCCCATCCAAGAACAAAAATACCAGGAGAGACTTAATAAAATGACATTAAGATTAATTTACAAGGAATTTAAATTTGGTTTGACTGCAGTGCAGGTAATCTCTGAATTTGCAAACTAATAAATTTTGATAATTTGCTTCAGCTTTTTTTGAAAAGAACACAGGATATTTTCTTAGGTATGATGTTACAGTGAGCCCTATTTGCATACTTTCTTGCTCTCTCCCACTAACTGGGCTTATTTTGAACTCTTTTTGGAGACTTGTACATAACCAGACATACAGGAAGAGTTGCAAGTTTTAACACACATCTTTGTCTTCACCTCATAAAAATATTGCCATGGAAATGACTGCATAGTATCTTTCCAGAAGGAGTTCTGGTAGTTTTTCTCCAAGCTGGGGTTGGGCATGGTGGAAGAGTAGCAAAGGAGGTGGAGAACACCAGAGGACGGCTTCTGTATATGTGGCTACTCTCTCTGTTCCTCAGTGGAGCCTTGGGTAGATTACATCTATCTTGTTTATGGTTTTTATATCAATGTAACTTTATAGTTGTATATTTCCTGCTCTACCTAAACTAGCATAAGCCCTGGTGCTGATGTAGTTATACCAAGAAAAGGCAGCTTGTCATAAAATGACATTTTCTTCTTGTAAAGGATGTTGCCGTCTATACAGTAACACTATAGTTGTGTCAATGAAGTGGTTGTGGGAGGGAGTGAATTTTTGTACTGCCCTACAAAAGGAAGGAAGGGAATTTATGACATGTCAGCTGTTTGGAAAACATTTTAGGAATGTCAGCTGAAAGATAACATAGATATGCAAGTGGTGTTACATATTCAGAATAGCCCAAAGGAACATAGTGAAAGGTGTCTTAAACAGGCAAGGGATCTCAAAATCCAGTTTCTTCACAGAAGCTTTCACTGGGTAAAAAACAAGGTCATATTAAAAGAGTTCTTGGGCAAAACAGTTGCATATGAGGTATTTGTCTTTTTGGCCTGTTCCCAGCAGGTCTTACAGCAGTTACTAGTTAAATAGATATAGTAAGATGTCTGTAATAGGTGATAATTCCTAAAATAATATGTAGTTGGAATTCTATTAATAATTTTAAGGATGTTGTATGAGGTAGAATATTTCCCTGTCTTTTTGTTGCCTTTGTGCTGTACAGGACTATCAACGGTTTAGTTTGACTTTGGAAATACGTTCTTTGGTCACTGACTAAGTATGCAGACAGGCTCAGAAAAAGCCTTTGAGGGATAGTGAGGAATGTATATAAAAAACCTTGAATGTTTTGAATTAGGGACCTTTGGTTTTGTCTGTAGAGCATGTGAATGTGACTCTAGGTACATGAAGTACAAAATAGATATGTAAAAGGAGGCTAGATTTGCACAGGCCCTTTCTAGAATTAGGCTAAAATTATTAAGACAGCTCTATGGAGTTTCAATCTCTACACCTACTTTTCTTAAGTCTTGGGTCAATGTTTAAATACAGCCATATTTGAGTGTTCTTCCCTGCTCCCCTCCCAGGAAACCGCCACAAACAGTGACTAAGATGGATAAGTAAGCAAGTGCTTGCTTACAGTGTACCTCATAAGGAATCACTGGCGTGGGACAGGGAATTTTGTTTCTGTAGTCTTTCACTTGTGATCCTGGGTGGTTGTAACCTGAAGTAAACATTTGTCTGACTAGTGTGTCCTGTCTAAGAACACTGTACTTAGAGTCAGTCAGTATTGCTGGTTTTGAAAATGGTGTTAGAAAGCATGTGTCTCAACCAGAAATATTTGAATTCTTTTTTGATTGGGATATGTTATTCTTATGCTTCTAGTCATTGACATAATCAGTGTTTCTTCCCCTATAAGACATAAGCTACTGTACATGCAACAGTCTTATTATTAGAAATAAGTAGATCTCAAATGCATAGCCACAGCATGCTTTGTGCACCATAAAGTCCCTCTGAAAATGTAAGCAAATGAACTTAATTTTCATTCTTTCTCCTTTGTTCCTAGATATAAAACTGTTTCAAACTGTACTTGGCAGACTGCATCATGTCAAACCACAAGAAACATATTCCTAATTAGAACTAAAAATAGGGTACATGAATCAAAATCCAATCTCAGAAACAGTCTTCAGCATCCTGAATTACGCTTTTCTTACCCTGCATACCTCTGAGAAGCTCACACTGAAATGTTAAAGTTTATATATCAGTGTTAGCGAAAAGATGTTGTAGTTGCTCATTGCAGTTTGTATTAATGTCTTCTAGGTAAATTGCTTCATAATGCAATATTTCATTAGATATTGGTAGGAATTACTGTTTTACTAGAAAGCTTGAAATTTGAAAAGTAAGGTACAATTTATTTCTAGCATTAGCAGTCTGTCTCAAATAGCCTGTGTAATAACATAGATTCAAAAAAGTATTCCTCAAGGAAATGCAAACGGCACTGGAGATCTCGTTCCAGTGCTTTGATCCTTACTGTTCGTGGTAAACGACAGGGTTGAAAACCTCTTATGCCAGGATGCAGGTTATGCATTATGTGACTGGGTGGGTACGTGTCATCAGTCAAGCATGCAGCTGCTCCCCCTCATGTGCCTTGATGCATGTGGCACACCCTGTCAAATGATAAATAATATCACAAAATGAGGTGGAGCTGTGAAATCCTTGGGGAAGAGGGGAACAGGCTGTGGGCCGTAGGCTGCATGGAGTATGCTGGCAAACTGCGTTGATTGTTGGCCAGAGGTCAGCCTTTCCTGGTCTGAAGATAGGACTAAAACAACTTTAGTTGCACTGCAGTGGACTGAAGCATAGGCTTGGCTGACTACTCTCATGCAGTTTCTGGCTACACCCTTAGTCCATCAGCCTTTGCGTCATATTTCCCAACAGATCTGGGCCTAAACTGGTCCGTGTACGTGAACTTCCTGATGCTTGAGGAAATGTTTGTTTCTGAGCTCTGAAGGTCATCTATGTCTCTCCCTTAGTTTCGGATGAAATGTCACATACATTCAAATCTTCCTCTTCCCATTTCCTGGTCCTAACACCTCCCTTCCTTTAGATCTGGTGTGAAATAGATAGTCTGTCTGTTCCCAAAGTATCTGTCAATCTAGGGTCACTTAAGCTTCAAAGTAAATGTAGTGGAAGTTCATCCATCGCCTGTAACTTCAGTGTATTTGCTCTGGCTAGAATATATTGCTGCTAACCTAAAGGCTGCTTTCCATGCTATGCTGGTATATAAAATGAGAAATTTGCAATTATTTGCCTTTCATTTAGGGAAGTACTGCAATAAAAAAATTCTATCTTGGGTAGCCTTCATTATTGGAAACAGTGTAAAAGATGGAAAGAGCTCTTTAGGATTGTTAGAGACATGGAGTTTCTGAGATACAGGGTTGAATAAATCTGTTGATTTGTAAGCTGAGCACATCTGAAGCTGACTCACCACAAGATGAATGCAAATAGAAAATGTCATTTTACAGACCTTCTTTTTGTGCTTGTTTTTTTTGATTAATAATATGTTTAGTGCTGATGGTGTCCTTGGCACTATGTAAAGCGCACTAATAAAACAGTCCTGGCCTTGGGGATGTACAGTATAAAAAGACAATTACCGAGAAGACAGGATGTACTTGGAAACAAAGATGTGGGGGAGAGTGTAGAGATTTTTGGATTGGTCTCCCTTAGAATATAGCTGTCAGTCAGTATAAGAGATGTAATACCTCCTCTGCCAACCTTTTGTTGTGTCTATTAACAGTGTCAGCTATTCGGCATGCGAATTGTATACCATGAAGTGTTTGTACTGTACCAAGCACAATAGGACCTTCTTCTCACTGAGGCCTGCAAATATTTTAAAAGTAATAATAAAACAATCATTTCACTTTGAGTTTTATGGAAGAGGCACATGTTTAAGTAGTATTTTTAAATAGGGAACTTAACAGGTTTGCTTTATGTATATAATGATTAACATTAGGAAAAAAGGGAGCTGATCAAGTGTAGGGAGACATTAACAAATCCGTTGTGTTCTAACCCAGAGCCATGAGTGAGTAGCTGTAGAGATATACACTAGCTAAAGAAGAAGTGGTCAAATTGTTTGCTCTGAGAGTGAAGGGAGAAGCCAGTAAATAATGTCTGCTGGTGGAACACCGTGGGCTGACTTGGGTTAGAAAGCCAAGGAAATTGTAATGTGCAAAGCTCGTTCTTATCAGAATAATGCCTTGCGCATGTATTCAAGAACAGCGTGGAAATTGATGAGACACTGGGACTAGGATGTTTGACTGTGGCAGAATTTCTCTCTTTGATGTGATGTTTTTTTGTCTGAATATAAACTCAACATGCACACCAAATGCTCTATGGAAAGTAGTGTTGGCTGTATCTCTCTACTTTTTTTTTTTGTTCCCTCCCCAGAACGCTGGCTTTAATTAAACCTGATGCAATGCCCAAGATCGGAGAATTAATTGATATCATTATTAATGCAGGATTTACAATAACTAAGGCCAAAATGATGGTGCTTTCAAGGTAAGGAACTTTTAAGGTTAGCTCTATTGTATCTAAATATTATTTTTGCAGTTAAGAACGTTCTCTGAAGCTATCCTGTGTTGTTCCACACATCAAATCCATTCCAATGAGTAATAGAAGGAGGACGCATCAGTTTCATCATCATGTAGGTTTCTGAAAGCATGTAGAGAATTACACTAAGTATTAAAAAGTTCTGTGCAAACGAGTATGGGTGATCAAATATGTAATGTCTCTGAATGAATCCAAGGTGACTACCATAGCTTTAGCAATTCAGCACTGTTTACTACTGACGTGTCTATATGTCCTCACCTTTATGGCTTCCTGATATGAACCATATTGCTGATTATAACAGCATTGTCTTTAAAGTAGTCTGTCTGTTCACTCTCAGTAAATCTGTTGTCTTAATTTGTGCTCTCAGAACCCAGACTTGCTTGCTTTTTACTGACTGGAAGTCCCAGGCAAAGCAAGTTGTCTTCTGATGTTGCAGGGTTGGACAGATTTTACTCATGCCTCTTCCTAATGCCCCGCAACCTTCACCATTCTCCACTTATCTCATTGAGCCACAAGATTTTAAAGACGACGTGCTGCAGAGGAAGGAAAACCCTAGAAGACTTCTCAAAGTTATTGCACTATTTCTCCATTGCAGCTTTGCCAAACCTGTTCGTATACAACGTGTCTTTGAAAAGAAAAGCTATCTGTCTTACATAATACCATTTTCATGTGTTCTTACAGTTTCTGTGTGAGGTCAGGAACAATTTTCCCCTACCTCAGAACCTTGTTGGCTTTCTGAAATACTGATAGAACAACTATGTGACTTCCTCCTCTTGTCTTTGCATTCACCTGCTGCAATGTTTGATGATACTGGTCCCAGATCCTCCCTCAAACAACTCCAGTTCATGAGTTCAATCAGGTTTCTAATGCTGATTTACAATTCACAATGTCTTTCAAGCCAGCTTTTTTTTGGCTTGGTTTCCTGCAGTCTGAGAGATTTGATCGTGAAGTGTTGTGTTGGGTGGTTCTTTATTTCAGTGTCTGTCTGAGAGCTTGAAGAACTGTTGAGGCCAAGTCACGTGCTTCAGAGTCGACTCACACTGAAGGGAAGAAACTTTGAGACTTGAACTTTTATTGCCTATTGCTATAAAAAAATTTCTGCTTGTCTTGTATAATTGAAAATAATTATTAATAAGCACAAGATTGGGCTGTGATACTGGATATATTTAAAATAATGTTTTGAGTATTTGTGGTTTCTCTGCATATTATATACTCTGTTTCTTGGGACTGTGCCATTTTAAACTGATAGAACTATGGCTTTGCCAAATTCTTTTACCCTTAGATCTCTGCAGGCATGCTTGTTCAAACCAGCATCATCATCTACTGCTTTCTTTAAAGGGATTATTACTGACATTTGTCTGGCAATCACTGTTAAGTAGATTCATGCCTTCTGTAAAATTGTAGCCAAGATATGAAAGTGAGGGCAAGCACCTGCTTTTATAGGTCAGCTCTCTAGTCTCTTCATTTAATCATGTCAGTTCAGTCTATTATTCCCAGATGAACACTGTTTTCCTTTCTTTAAAAGCAGAGAACTAATGAGAGAGATGAAATGAAAAAGGAGCTAAGTTATACAGCACAACTGCAGTTTTACATTTATTGCAATAAGAATTTTTAACTGAGTAGTAGAGCTCAATTTGTTTGAGAAATATATCCCTCAAATATTTCTTTGTGTTCAGAAATGATAATACTTAAATCTGTTTGCATACCTTTTTCATATTTGCTTTGCAAAAATTATTTGGTGAATTAGTTTCAGAAGAGGATTTTCTGGTGAGATAGTGAATTGTAAGCAAAAACTTCAGGCTATTTGCAGAGTGTAGGTTTGAAGCTTGAGATTGCAAGAGTTCCTGTGACTAGCATCATTTTTAAATCATGTTACTGCCTTAGTTATGAAATGGAAGGAAAGTATATTAGCTGTATGGTCAATAAAAATCTTTTGAATTTCAAATGGCTCATATTTACACTGAACTGAAAGCAACAAACCAGGAATTATTCAGTTCCAATGAGCAGGTGGTCATTTTGATAAGAAAGCTGGAGAAAGCTGTGACTCTTCAAATATTTGTCAAGGTTAGGAAAATTAAATTCTTCTTAGGTTCTTCTTGAGGTTATTTCTTTCCTCTGGCAATATTGGGCTTCAGTCTGGACTGCAAATGGGAGAGACACGTGAAAAGTTCCATTGCAGATGACAGTACCTTGCCTTTGTTCATACTTGGAATCTGTTATTTGAAAATCATGCAGGTAATTTCCTTCAGTAGAGAGAGCCGCTCAAAGTGAGCAAAATCACGGAGACCAGAAAAAATCAGAAGATAGTTTGTGGTTTTCAGAGGGGTTTATATATATATATAAGTGTGTATGTATATATATCTGTATCTATACATCTATATCTATGTCTTTTTACTCTTCCAGAAAAGAAGCAGCTGATTTCTACGTAGACCATCAATCAAAACCTTTTTATAAGTAGGTATATCAACTTCAGCTTAACATGTATTGAGCTTATTTACTGAATGCACAGGATTCATTTTACCATATTTGGTACTGCAGGACCATGGGAAAATCAGAACTTGTCTTAGTTGAGTGGAGTCCTTTGCAAAGTATGCACCCTGTTCATCTTCCTGCAGGGACAGATCCTTTTCAGCTATTTCAGGGTTTCAACTCACACTCTTTACAACCTGATGATATCAGGGGAATGTCTTTGGTTTCTCAGAAGTGAAAATGCCCCTAGCAAGGTGAAACTTCAAAGCCAAGGGAAGGAGCATCTTCAGGATCAGGGTGGAGCTTGCAGGTAATGAGAATTAGGAGGGAACACTTAGCTGTGAGAATTGATTTGGTAGCAAGTACCCCAAACTGTAAGTAACTGAAAGGATAGTGCATGGGCACTTGTTTACTGTACTGTTACCCTTGGACAAAACGTCAAAATTCCATGATGCTAAACTGCTCTGCCTAACATGAAAAACCTTAGTCTTTCAATAACTGACCAGATTGATGCTCATGACCCAGAGATTGTGTTGCTTCTGCTTTACCTGAAAGTGCCAACAAACAGCTTGCTTTCCCTCCCTCTGGATTTGGCAGTCTGCCTCTTTTAGGGAGAGGGTGCAGCTCTGCCTTGTGTTTTTCAGCCATGTTGGAACCTGGGTTTGCACTGACTTGGTCAAAAGACCTGGTTTCAATACTGTCATGAAGTGCTTGAGTATTAGGATCTGCCAGCTGCTCTCTTGCAACAGCAGCTGATTTATTGTGGGTCCAAGCTCAAGCCCTGAGTTAGCCTTTTTGAGTATGTTGATAAATAAGCAAGAATTTTGCCTGTGGTGTTATTTCACAGATGTCTGTCTATACTGATGGTAATTATCTGAGGAACTGCAGCCTTTGTCCACTGTCATGTGCCTGTCTCCCATCTTACAGTCCTATTGGCTACATCTTCTAAATAGGATTTTTCTCTAAATTAGAAACAAATAGTTATAAAGCATTGCAAATCAAATAGAACAAGAATCTTCAAGGCAGTGAAATGTAAAATCTCTGACTTATTTATATTTAGCATTGTATTACTTATCTTTAAACTCAGATTTAGTTTGCAAGTTCACTAGTCAATGTAAGTCCAGTGAATAGTAGGGAAAAACAGCAATTCTGCTTGTTTGGAAAAGAATGTTTTACATATTAAAGAATTTAATTTTTAAAATTTATTTAATATTCACAGTTGGCTGGGCAAAATCCACAGGAGAGATCCATGGGGCAGTGGAAAAATCCATCCTGACAGCAGTGCTGAAGTTGTGTCAGTGGGGAACACATGCAGGTCATGTGTGAGAATCCTGAAATCCTGCTGTGCAGAAGAGACATGCTTAGGAATCGTTCCTGTCAGACAAATGGTTAGCGGGGTCTCTTCCACTGTTGCCAGTTCTGATCTTCTAAAAATTCTTTTGAAATATAACACACTGCACAGTAGCTTGAGTGAGCTTGTATTATCTGGTTCTTTTTCTACAACTGTAATAGGAAGGGAATGTCTGCACATGACCTAGTCCAACCTCCTCCTCAAAGCAGAGCCAACTTCAAAGTTAGATCAGGTTGCTCAAGGCCTTGCCAAGTTGAGTTCTGAGCATCTCCGCTGGATCATATGTTTTTGTTGGTTTTAATTTGTAGCGTGGATCACCATGTGCTGTTTCCATTTTGCAGTGATCTTCTCCAGTTTATAACGAGTGGTCCCATTGTTGCTATGGAAATCTTAGGAGATGATGCAGTTTGTAAATGGAAAACATTGCTGGGGCCAACAAACTCTGCAGTGGCTCAGGCTGATGCACCAGACAGCATTAGAGCGAACTTTGGACATGATGGTCTAAGAAATGCAGCTCACGGCCCAGATTCAGTTGCTTCAGCTGCTCAAGTAAGTTTCTGACTGTTTGACTGAGGTTTATTTTTACTTTATCTGGTATCAGCTTGGTCAGGAATTCCTCATTTTTTTCCCCGCTTGAGTTCAGAACTGGTTTAGGTATTCTTCATGGATCCTTTTTAGCATGGAAAAATAAGCTGTCTGAAAACAGAAGTCTTGTTTATCTCTGTCACAAAGGGGAACTTTGGGCACTTTGATCAGGAGAGCATGCCTGGTCATTTTTAGTGTCTTCTGTACATCACAAACATTCAGTTAATTGCATAGTCTGCATAATCTACCTATAGCCTACCAATGTTGGTCGTAAAAAGAAAGGGATTAAACAATTAAATCCTTTTGTGCCCTCCTGTGTTTTGCTTATCTGTTCTCCTCCACAGTCCTCGCTAGTCCTATGCCTGCAGCCTACTTTCCTCTGCTGTTTTTGTTCAGAATGAATAATTATGAAAACAGGCCATTTCTAGTGCTTTGTGTTTTGAGAGGTAATACAGTGGGCTTGGCTTTGAGGAGCTCAGTTCTCTTTTGCTTTGGTTGCAGTGTGTCTTTCCTTAGTGCTAAGAAAAAGCCCTGGGACTGAGTGATAGATATTACCAGCATTTCTACAGAATTGAGGTGACTATTTGTGCGTGTTGTTGTGTGGTAGATATGCTGATAAATGATGGCAAGAATAAAGTTTATCTCATGATTGATTGGTATTGCACTGTGGTATCTTAGCCCTAGGCCAGCAGGGAAAAGCTACTAGTTGTTGCTTCCTTGATCTTAGTCTTTCCTCTATTTAAATTGGAGCAGCTGCAATAGCACAGTTGGAGAGAGAGCTGCCCCGGAATACCTAATAAGCTGCCAAGTACTGTATACTAGAAAATATACATGGAGATTATATCCTGGTGATGGGGGCAGAGTTGGTCAGCCTCTTATGGCTGGCTGTTAGGCTGTGTGGCATAGCAAGCTAACTGCAAAGCATGGGCAGTTTTCTGCTGGTCAAGCACTCAGCTCGCTTATCTGCACCATGCCTCAGCTGCTGGATCCTTTCTGTGTGCCTCTGGTTTTGACACGAAATCATATGCTGGACCTGAAGAACCTTTTTCTGCTGGCAGACTTGATGAAGGTGGTACAGAGTCATAAAGAATTTGGATGAAATTGATCTTTTCTGATGAAGGAGAATTGTAGTCAGAAAAGTCTTTGTGGTTCTGGTTAAATAGGTAGCTGTCTTCATATATAAGGGTGAAAGTTTCTCTTTGTTCTTGTTTACTACCATGACAACTGTGTCAGCTTTTGAACTGAGAGTGTAGCAAAGAGTATCTATTAGCATAAAATTTTGATTAGAAGCATAAGTGTGTGCTTTGGCTTAAGTTTGCTGTTCTTTTTGCATTTCATTATTTTTGAAATGCTGTTTGAAGGCCCTATTCATCTGCAGCTTTTTTATGACTCTGGGATTATTTTGCTGAACTTTTGCAGGTGTGTGCATCTTTGTGGTGTTACTGATAGCAGTCCTCAATAAATGAAACAAAACTGTGAATTTAATACTCCTGTGCCTATTTTAATTTAGTAGGCCCAGTGTTATATGGTTGTATAGCAATTGCCATGGAAACTAGTTGGCTGTGCCTTGCAGAAGCTTTGCTGAAAAGAAGGAAATATAAGATAAAGGACCCTTCTGAAGGAAAACTGAAGTCTCAACCACATTTAATGAATGTATTGTAAACTGAACAGTTAGTGGAAGACTGCATTGTTCTTTTGGGGGCTAAATGACAAGTGAAAGTATGCCTCTGGTATACTCTAAGCTGGTGTCTCTCTGCAGGCCAAATTTTGGAATTTCCTTAGATCAGGAATAAAGGCAAAGGAAGAGAATTTTCTTTTTAAGGCTCCATTTGGTTATAGTTTGGCATTTCATTATCCTAGTCCTTCAGTGTTATTTAGTTACTTTCCTTTTATGACTTTTAATGGATAAAACAAAGTGTTAAATACTGTAAATACTTTGCTGCCTTTTCCTAGCTGCTTCTTTTAGAGTAAACATTAGTTAACAGAGTGGGACAAGGTCTTTGAAGCATGCAATTTTATCAGTAGAAGGATGTAGGAAATGAACCCTTTGTCTCAGATATGCCCACTTAAAATGTGGATTATTAGCTAGCAGAAAACCAAAAACCGTTTTCCCTTCTATTGAAAGATCCATTAGGTTGAATTATGTAATTGTTCAAGTAAGGATTACAGGAATCATCAGAGTGCTGTGAGATAACGACTGGGAGATAGCTAAGTCTATTCCATCTGAATTGAGATAGTAAATTAAATGAGACAGTTCCAGGAGATGGCCTTTAGCACTGCTACTCTTATACAGGAAAAAATGAGATAGATTCAGTAGTAGTATTTCCAGGATATTATTGTTTCCCTTAAATAGAAATTTATCAATTCTTTTACTGAATTTGACCAATAGGTCTGAAATGGAATCTGTGTTTTGAGCATTTGACTAATGTTAATTGGCAGATTGTGTAACATATGTGAATAAATGGTATGGAAAAAGTGTGAAGCTGGCAATGAACAGTGAAGAAATATCACTGAGGAAAGAAACCTGGCTGTCAAGCTCACCCCAGCATGGTCTAAGACCCAAGCTATATGATACCTGAATAGTGATGGTGAGAAGAAAGGAAGTGATCAGAGGCAAAGAGGTTCTTTTGATTCATCCCAGAAATCAGAGCAATTGAGTTCATCAGCTTCAATTCAGTAAGATTAAAAAAAAAATAGTGTCAATACGGCATGAAGAGTGAGTTAACAATTTTAGACAAAGTTTAGTTGTTTAAGACAAAAGGAAAAAAATTTAAAAAAAAATGGGATCGAGGTCAGTTTTGTATATGGAAAGAAAACACACTGAGAAATGGATGGTAGTTGCATTTTTGCTCATACAGTGGAAAAGATGACGGGAAAAGAGGGAAGATAAAATATGTGTACATGGGAGTGGATTTGGGAAAGATACTGAGAAAAGAGAGAGAGAATTCAGAAAACTGGGAACACCTCTACCAAATGATTGTGGCAGCAGCATTTTGAATGCTCTGAATGGAAATGGATTGCATTGCAGAAGTGAAACAGAAGACATTGCAAGAAATATTCAAATCATGTTTTTATGATTGTAGCAGTGGTGCCAGAGAGGGAAAGATATATTTGAGAGAATATTATAGGGAAAAAGTATTTGTAGCACAAAAAATCTGTAATTAAGATCTATCTTCTGTGACTATGGATACTTCAGATGTTTTTACTTATGATAAAAGCTGATGTGTGCAGCTAGATCAATCTAAAATTTATTCAATTACAATTGTTTGCAGGAGCTGGAGTTGTTCTTTCCCTCCAGTGGAGGTCGCGGACCAGTCAACAGTGCAAAATTCACAAACTGTACTTGTTGCATTATTAAGCCTCATGCAGTTAATGAAGGTAAGCAATACAGATAGTGGAGGTGAAAGCAATGTGTGCTTCATTGTATCCATGATCATTCCTGTGCCCTTTTTTGGGAGAATGAGACTGCAAGAGCACAGGGTGTATTTTGTAGTACGTGCAAAAGTATGCAGATACTTTGTCTTTCATACACCTTTAGTATTTCTGCAGTTCCGTTCCATGAAGAGTGGGCCGTGTGCTTTCCATGCGGATCCTTCTTAATTTCAGAATAAGAAGGGAGAAGTGAAAAAAAGGATAAAAATATACATGAGATTTGATGGTTCTTACTGTGACAGTTTACCATGTCCTTGCTCCTGTCTACCTACCATACTCATCTGCTCTGGAGGTTAGCATCCTCACAGCAGAGTGAAAGCAGGACACCTGGCCATATTGCAAGACCTTCCACTCATGCAGTAACACATTACATTAAAAATACTCACAAAGGGAGATTTGTGCTGATCTGAATCCTATTCTGCTGAATGCAGTGAGGGTGGAAAGTAGAAAAGGTTGTTTACTCTATGAAAGTGAGCCAAAGACCTAAAGCATTTGTTGGACTCCATGATGCTTTCTGTGCTGGAGAATGCCCTGTGAGCTCACTGTATGAGTGTTGGAAATGTTTAATACCCAACTGTTACCATGCAAAAATAATCTCACTTTTGTGTCCTGTACTTAGATACAGGAGCATGTGTAGGAGCAGTGAGTGCAGTAAAATATTTTGCATCTGGCACTGCAATGGTATTTTTGAGTGCAGAATAAATATTGCCATGTGAGAGCATTGAGATTTTTCTTAGTAAGATGCAGAGCACACTGCAACATTTTAATCACTTCTCTGCGGTTAGCTGAAATGGAAACAGCAGAAGTGGCCGTAGCAGTTTCCAGGCCTTTCACACCTCAAGTGGGATGTCTGAAGAGCTTGCTGAAAAAAAAAAAAAAGGCTTTCACAAGAAAGAGTCTCACACTCACTGCTGATAATATGCCTGTTATCTCTTTGAGGCCCTGCATAGTATCTACTACTGATAAGTCTGCCATGCAGCAAAGACAGAGTGATGTTCCTTTTACAGAAATACGGGCAGCAGCTGGGACTATGATCTTACCTAGTTAAATGTTTGCAGAGGACAAACCTTTCTGTGGCAGGATTGTTAGGGTCCTTAATTTGATTGTGAAAATAGCAAAGTGGATGGCTTGGGCTGTGCTTTCTTATACTTAAGATATATTTCTGTTACATATGGGGGCTCAGATGCTAAAAGAGCATCAAGCTCAGGTTGTCCCTTCCTACTTTTGATCTTCTTCATTTCTGTGGATTTCATACTGCCCTATCTGTTACTTTCTTTCTTTTCTCTTGAACTTCTCAGAATTTTTCTGAATCGCCAAAGGACAGATTCTGGGCCTGTTTGCACTCCCCTCTGGGAGTGTGAGTGTCTGGAGGAGGTGGGGGTGGTGAGAGAGAAAGAGGTACAGGTACAGATAAACAGAAGATGTAAGTGGACACCCAGCTTTGCAATGTGAGCGCTAGAAAGACTGGACTAAAGTTGAGCTTAATATCCACTATATAGTCCTTTTTCTCAGACCACAGAGGGCTGGAAAGGCAGACCACAGCTGCCAAACAGCAACTAAAATTTGAAAGACAAAGTGTACCTTGTGTGAGCGTTCTTCGTCCATACAGCTTTGATTACTACGCTCAACAGAATGAAGAAATCAAAACTGAATTTTCTAAGTCAGCAAAAGCATTTTATCAATTTTAAATTAATATCAAGAATGATGGAATTCAGGGGCTGCCTATGCTTTTACCTTACCAAGCTCTGTTGTCCCTGCCTGTTTTCTCCAGTGTTACTCTGAATGTTTCAAAAGCCACAGGTGCTGCATCTCTTAAAGAGATTATGAGACTGAGGAGGTCTTGTAAAACTTTCCAGAAGTCTGGCTTCTGACAGGGAGTTGGGCTTAGGGAAGGGAAGAGTCACTGTGGCTGAGCGGTGGCCTCCCTCTTTGGCTGAGAGCACTGGTGTGGCTTCATATTGCAACTGGACTGGTTCCAGTCTGCAGCTGGAGGTGAGATGAATCCCTCTTCACAAGGGCTGCAGGAAGTGTGCAACATCAGCCCAATGGGCCAGGAGTGTTGCAGGGGAGAGGATTTGGCTTTCTTAGCCTGTCCTCTTCTGTCTTCCTTAGTCTTTCTCGTATTCTTCTTCAGCCTAATTTTGTGAGTAATAACAAAAATATCCCTGAGTGGTATCTCTTTTGGTACGGTTGGTCTCCTTATAAAGCACTTTGCATCGTCACAGTTGGAAGAACCATGCACAACAGAGTAGAGAGCTGTGCACTAGCTTTGCAACAGCTTTGGAAATCTTAATTCTGAAATTACTCTGATGTTTAAACTGCCTGTTTTAAAGTTGAAGGAACATAACCTTTTCCTCCTACAGATTTTAAAGCTTTTAAAATTTTGAGCATGCTGTGTGGCAGTGGCAGGCTGTCTACAGAAATGCCACCGTTCCTCCTTCCCTGTGTGGACTGTTTTGGAGTTGGGGAATAACATGCTGAAAGGGTTTGGGGGGACCAAACAATCTGCTCAGGAGAACTCCCAGCTGCCTGTCTGAAACAGGCAGACAAGAAAGGAGAAGCCTGGCTTTAGGGATTAAAGAGCAGAGGCATGGCAGTGGAGCACGTTGGCCCCATGGATTGTGCATCTGTAGGCAGAAAGTTTGAGAAAGGAAGGGCTTACCTATTTGAGCTCAGCAAGCCATGACAGAGCGGGGAGGCCCTGCTCGTCTTGTCTCCCTTTCCATGGCTGTTAGCAACTGTGTTCAGTGATACCTGAGACATTCTGGTTATACCAGCAGCATCTCCTGTATCTCAATAGGTGCACCTGAAGTAGGTGCTATAGCAACTAATGAGCTGCCCTTTTGTCAAAATTGCATGTAGGAAACTACGTGGTCTTATAAAAATAAGCAACTTACTTATCCCCAGCAACAGTGCTTATAGCTGTGACTGTTGACCCTGCTGTTTCAGGTGGGGAGAATGTAAATGGAAACACAGCATCTGGAGAAGAAAGAAAATCCTGCGTGGCCATCGGTGTGAAAAAGGTGGTTTGGCAGAGGCATGGAGAGGAATTTATGTGGGTCAAAGCAGCAGAGCCTCTTACGCATTGCAAATTTGATTTGTGCTGCACAAATTTTCAGTATCGAGTATCTAAAAATAGACTTTTTTGCCATTTCCTATGCGCTGCTAAGGCTTTGAACTTGATTATCTAATTACCATGAATATAATCTGCTCATTACACATTTACAATTACGTGAAATTTCACATACATATTTGAGCGTATACGGAGCTTTAGTCTTTATTGCTGCAGAAACATTTGACTGAATTAATTATTTGAATTTTGATTTCTGGTCCTTTTTCCCAGTGTTTCCTTTTCCTCCAGAGTCCATTGCATAACTGATTCTTAGAAGGAAAAATCTTCTATTTTTCCATCCTGGAAGATGGTTTGCTTTATCCACAGCTGTAAGCTAGGAGGATTTTCAGTGAGCTTACCTTGCTGTCAGAAGGCTGGATCCAATCTCTAGTTTATGCTGGTTAATTCTCGGACAAGAGCCCTTTCTTAGAAACTGACTTTGATTACTGTAGAGGGTTTATAGGGTTCCTATCCAGTGCCAAAGCAGTGGAAAATCACTGTTGGTTTTATCTCTGGCCTTGCTGACCCTCTCCTGACAGGCATGTGGAAACATCTGTTGCTAGGCAGCTGCAGCAGCGCAGCCCGACCACCTGCAGCAGGACCTGGCGCAGCACTCGCACACGTGATAAGTCCTGTAAGCGAGAGTACTGAAAGCGTCTGCCAGGCTGCAGAGGAACCCTGGGGCCTGATAAAGGGTGTCAGGGGAGTTACGTGAAGTTTAACTTCAGCTGTCAAGGGTGCTGGTAATGCTGGAGGGGTGGTATTGCCAGCCATCTAGGAACGTGTATCATATGCACCTCTTCAAGAGGTAGGGCAATAGCTATTTTGCCAGTCTGGTGTCAGCATAATGTCTTCTGTGGAGGATCAGAGGTGGGAAAACAGCTGAGAAGGCTGTTGAAGGCCCAGTGCTCTGGACTAGACAGCTTTAGCTCATTCTCTAGCGGCTCCTCCCGGTGGAGATGAAGCACTTTCCTGGCTGGCTGGCAAGTTGGCAGTGCTGAAGTGGTTGTATTTTAACTCTGAAGAGGGTTTGCAAGAGCAATACAACTCCTCTTTATTGGGAGCTGAAAGAATGCAAAAGCAACCTGATGCTACTCCACGCAGACTTGTTTTGACCAGGGGCGTGTTGGGGAGATACGATGTGGTTTGACCCCTCTAGAATCTGCCATGCTTTTGAGTGTCTTTTAGCCTCCTCCTTCTCTTCTCCTGAGACCAGTTTTCAGTCGAGGAGGATGGTAACTAGTAAGCATAGCTCCTCAGTGTGTTGATGAGGATTGTAGGGCTTAATTTTTTTAATAATTAAAGAGTTTTAGTGTGGATCTGTGTTCTGTAACCCACTTGCTTCTTGTGCTTGGAGTTTCTGGTAATTCAGATACGAGGTCACAGTTGTAATCATTTAGACATTCTCTTTCTGTAATTCCCCTCATGTTATTAGATCTGGAGGTACTAGCAGTATTGCTCAGAAGCCGAAATTGTAAATGCACCAAAATGGATGAACTTCAGTTTAATGCCCTGAGGACAGTTATGACTCAACTGTTTTGTCAGCAGAAATAGTACCTTGTAGATCACTGGGTGGGATTAACTTTAATGTATTTATGTGTAACAGTTTAGACATGTTTGCTGTAGGAATTAGAATTAGAATTTGGTATTTCATGACTGGTTTAAAGTTTCTTTGATGTGGCTTTTACTTAATTCTTTTGAAAAACAAGCAGGGAAAAAATGATGAAAGTAGTGATAATCAGGCTATAAAGACTGAGGTCAGAAGTTTGTTATATTTCACATTTCATACTTAGGTTACAGCTCAGAGCTTGAGGGATGAAATCCTGCCCTCCTT